TCCTACCTACTAACCTCATCCCTCCCCCTTGACCTGTCCATCCTCCCTGGACTGACCTATCCCCTCCCTAACTCCCCACCTACACTCACCTTTACTGGCTCCATCCCCGCCTCTTTGACCTGTCTGTTTCCTCTCCACCTATCTTCTCCTCCATCCATATTCTATCCGCCTCCCCCTCCCTATTTATTTCAGAACCCCCTTCCCCTCCCCCATTTCTGATGAAGGGTCTAGGCCCGAAATGTCAGCCTTCCTGCTCCTATGATGCTGCTTGGCCTGCTGTGTTCATCCAGCTCTACAGCTTGTTATCTCTTATAACTATTTATTCCTGTCTGTCGCAAAAGCAAAATGGGTAAGAGGGCCAATCCATGGCTTTCAAAGGAAATAAGAGATAGCATCTGATCCCAGGAAGAAGCATATAGATTGGCCAAGAAAAATAATAAATCTTCAGATTTGGAGCAGTTTAGAATTCAGCAAAAAAAGACTAAGGGATTGATTAAGAAGGGGAAAATAGAATATGAAAGTAAGCTTCCAGGGAACATAAAGACTGATGCTAAGAGTTTCTAGAGGTACGTGAAGCGAAAGAGATTGGTAAAGACAAACGTAGGTTCCCTACAGACCGAAACAGGGAATGCATAATAGGGGACAAAGAACTGGCTGAGGAACTGAATACATACTTTGGTTCTGTCTTTACAAAAGAGGACTCAAATCAGATATCAGAACTGTTGGAGGATGCAAGATTTAGTGAGAGGGAAGCTGAGTGAGATCAATATTAGTAGAGAAATGGTGCTGGGAAAATTGTTGGGATTGATGGCCAATAAATCCCCAGGGCCTGATAATCTACTCTCCAGAAGACTTAAGGAAGTAGCTTGAGAAATAATGGATGCATTGGCGGTCATCTTCCAGGATTCTATAGACTCTGGAACAGTCCCTGCAGATTGGAGGGTGCCTAATGTCACTCCAATAATCAAAAGGGGAGGTAGAGAGAAAACAGGGAATTATAGACTGCTGAGCCTAACATTGGTAGTGGGGAAAATTCTCGAATTTATTGTCAAGGATTCTTGGCAGAGCATTTAGAAAGCAGTGGCAGGATCAGACAGAGTCAGCATGGATTTATGAAGGGGAAATCATGCTTGACAGCAATGTTGTTGAATCTTGGCTGCTGTCTGAAATGGCCCAGCAAGTATTCAGTTCAAGGACATTTGGGGATGGACAGTAAAGGGTGGCCTCACCAACAATGCCTGCATCCCATAATCCCATAAATAAACAAAATGCCTCCTCGATACCCCATTCAGTCAAAGATAATCATTCACTCTACCTCTCAGATTCCACTCTGTTCATGTTTGAACTAAGGCGGTAATGAGATCAGGAACTGAGTAGCTCAGACAGAGCGCAAACGGAGCATCAGTGAGCAAGTTGTTGCATTTAAATGCTTTCATTTTGCTGATTTTTGTGGACTGGACGTACCTGGACAATTTTCCACAATGTCAGGTAGATGTCAGTATTTGAAGCTGTACCAAGACTATTTGGCAAGAGACACAGCTGATTCTATATTTTTTATTCATTCATAGGATGAAAGTGTCACTGGCTACGGCAGCATTTATTGCCCATCCCTAATTTCCCAGAGGGCAATTACGAGTCAACACAACACTACTGTGGGTCTGGAGTCACACGCAGGCCAGAACAGTTGAGGATGGCAGTTTCCTTCCCTAAAAAACATCAGTGAACTAGATAGGGTTTTCCAACAATGCCATCGTTAGATTTTGAATTCCAGATTTTTATTGAATTCAAATTCCAGCATCTGTCATGACAGGATTCAGACCTGGGTTCCCAGAGTACTACCTGGACCTCTGGATTATCAATCTAGTAATACTATCACAAGGCCATCACCTCCTCTATTCTGAAGCACAAGTCTTCACTTTACTGCCTGGATCATGTCAGTATGCTGTATCTGAAGCCTTCAGCCTTACGTTAATATCACATGTGATGCATCTATTTGATTGAAGACTTGACTGATGATGAGGGAATCACGAGGAGTCTGGGATGGATTACCACTCGGCACTTCAGGCTACAGATTGTTGCAAATGCAATAGCCTTGTCTTTTGCACTGATGTGCTGGGCCCTTTATCATTAAGGGTGGGAATATTTGTGGGGTCCCTTTTTTCAGTAAGTTGTTTAATTGTCCACCACTATTCATGATTGTGTGGCTGGACAGCAGACCTTTGATCTGGTCAGTAGATCACTCAGCCCCATCTCTCATATGCTACTTCAACTGTTTGGTATGCATGTGGTCTTGTGCTGTACCTTCATCAGATTGGCACTTCATTTTTAGTGCTGCTCCCGGTATGTTGTACTGCACTCCACATTGAACCAAGGCGCTCCCTTAAACATGCCTGAAATTATGCAGTTCATGTTTTACATCCCTGCTGTATTTATGTAATTCAGATCCAAATCATAAACAAGCCAGCACCTTCTGATTAGAAAGTATGTAGACTTATGCCTGGCAAGAAAATGGACCTATTCTGAGTGAATGCCAGTATTATGATTCAGATAAGAATTTTTCATTTCCTCTATTTAAAATGAATGCACTTTTTCTTTACCTCTGTATTTAACATTTTGTTCCACACTTTCATGTGCTGTAATTAGGATAGCTCTTGCTCTAAAAATGTTTTCTTTGCAAATATACTTCTTTTGTCTAATTGAATGTTGATCTTACTTAAATTTTAATTTTGTTTTAAATGTTATTTTAGTTTTATTTTCCTGCTTCATTTCTCCACAGACATCCTCTTACCATTCTCCTCTTGAACGCAGCTGAACACATTCTGGAGTCGCACTAAAGTAGCTATTCTTCATGTGTGAACTTAGGTAATAAATGGAAAGTTGGCTGGGTACCTAACAACAACTTTATATTGTACAATAAAAGCAAAGTAATACAGATGTTGGAAATCTGAAATAAAAAGAAAAAAATGCTGGAGAAACACAGCAAGTCCAGCAGTATCTGTGGAGAAATAGAGTTAACGTTTCGAGTCTAAACCAATTCTTCTTGAGAATATTTTTTATATAGCATCTTTATAGTAATAAAACATTCCAAGGCATTTCACAAAAGCATTATCAAACAAAATATGACACCACACCACAGGAGGCCATATTAGTTCAGAAGCTTGCTCAAAGAAGCAGTTTTTATGGAATGTTTTAAAGGAAATACACCAAACAGACAGATGGAGGAATGGTATTCCAGAGTTTATGACTTAGGCAACTGAAGGCAAAGCCAGCAATGGTGGAGCAATTATGATTAGATGTGCAAGAGGCCAGAAGTAAAGGATGCAGGTATTTCAAAGGGTTATGGAACTGGAAGAGATTACATTGAAAGGGAGGGCCCAGGCCATGGAGGAATTTGAAAACAAGGGTCAAAATTTTAAAATGAAGGCATTGCTTGACAGGGAGCCAATGTAGGTAAGTGGGCGCGAGCGGTGATAGATGTGTAGGTGAAGAAATGTGTTTTGGATGGCTTCAAGTGTATAGATGATAGAATATGGGAGACTTGTCAAGTCCAGCGGTAATAAAGGTTTTAACTGTGAAATATGTGGCACCATGATCTCCCAGCTTCTACATATGAACAACTCCAACAAGTGGATATCAAAAAAATTGGTTAGGAACAGGGGTGTGGCAAGTTCTAGAGCAAAATCTTCAGTGCTATTGCCAGAATGTGGCCAGGGCCCATAACCTTTGCAGTATCTAATGTCTCCAACCGTTTCTTGATATCACATGGAGTGAATGGAATTGGCTGAAGACTGGCATCTGGCATCTGTGATGCTGGGAAGTTCTGGAGGAGGCCAATGCGGATCATCTACTCAGCACTCCTTGGTGAAAATTGTTGCAAATGCCTCAGCCTTATCTTTTGCAATGTGGGAGTCCGCAAAAATCACACTGAGCTCCCAGTTGCCTGCCATTTCAACACACCACAGTGTTCCCTGGCCAACATCTCTGTCTCGGGCTTGTTGCAGTGCCTCAGTGATGCTCAGCACAAGCTGAAAGAACAATACCTCATTTTCCATTTGGGAACCTTGCAACCTTCTGGACTCAATATCGATTTTAGGGCTTGAGAACCTTCTCCCATGTCCTTACCCAAACCCCCACACACCAGGCCCTGTCATCACATGGGCTGCTACCACAAACAATGCATTGTAGCTATTAATAGTCCCCATTAGCAGCTATTCATTCTCCCAGGCTAACCTTTACCTATTCCTTTGCCCAACTGTCTCTTTCTCTCTCTTTGGACTTCATCTCCACCTATCGTTTACTCCATCCCCCTCCACCACCCCATCTTTAGCATATATACCTAACTTTTCCCAGCTGCAATCAGTTCTGAATAAGGGTCACTGGACCCAAAACATTAATTCTGCTTTCTCTCCATAGATGCTGGCAGACCTGTTGAGTTTTTCCAGCGATTTCTGTTTTCATTTCTGATTCCCAGCGTCCACAGTTCTTTGGATTATGGCCCTGTTTTGTCAGTTCACCAGGTTAACACCTTATTTTTAGGTGTTGCTATGTCTGCTCTTGAAATGCCCTCCTGCACTCTTTATTGCACTAGGGTTGATGATAATTGCATGGATTAAGGATTGATAACATATACGAGTCAGGGAGTTGGACTTAATGGGTCCTTTTCAGGTTGGAAAGTTAACTACTGGAGCAGCACAAGGATTAGTCCAAGGGTCTCAATGATTTATTATCTATATTGATGACTTGGAAGAGGGAGCGAAAATGTATCTAAATTTGCCGAAAACACAAAAATAGGTGTGATAATGACATAGGGAATCTGCGAGGTGACACTGAGAAATAGAGTGAGTGGCCAAGAACTTTGCGGATAGAGTTTAATGAAAGAAAGTACGAAGTCATGGACTTTGATTGGAAAAGTCAAAGGTTAAAATCTGATAGGTATCTGAATTATGTAGGCTATGGCAAGGTTTGTAGAAGAATCAGGCAAAAAGTCTGGGAAGGCTTACCTTAATGGTTGGATCATCTTGCTCCATCAATGCTTTTCACAAGTAGTGTGATGAGTTTCTTGCTAGGTACTAGTGAATTGCCTATCACAGCTTCTCAAACGGTTCATTAATGCTGCAAATTGCCTCGTCAAATATTCAGCTTCCTAGTTTGCCAAACATGCCAAACAAGCTCGACAAAAGGAAAACTCAACTTGGAAATTGGTGCAGGTACCTGGCAGCTTAAGCTCGCTGCTTGCTTTGATGGATCTCCCTGTTGCTTAGAACCAAACAGATCTCAGACATCTTTTTGATTCACTTGTAGGCCACTTAGAAGCACTGGCTTGTATTGCAGGGTGTACCAGAAACTAGCATTGAAAAGCTGAAGCAGGCACACTTTGTACACATGGACAGAGACTAGCTCATCAGTTGGACATGGCTGCCCATTTGCTTTCTTAATGCTTGCTCAATTAGTGCCTGTCTGCATCAACACCTTGCCATGCAATGCCAATTAGTGCAGCCACACAACAGGCAGCTTGCCTGTTGATCAGTAGTCCTTAGTCAAGGGGACATCTATTTTGCTGTATGGCAGATTGCTACATCAATCTCACAGCTGTACCATGTACCAGCAGCTCACACAACAAACACAGTTCATGTGCAACAAGAAAGCAGTCAGGACTCAAAGACTTATGGTCTCACTGAAGTCCATGGAGCCTCCCGTCCATGAGGTTCCCATCACAATAAGTTAAGGGCAGCCTTCCATACCAGTGCAGGGGATTGGCTATTATCAGGCATTGAATCAGACTATTTCCGTGTTGGGGTCTGTGCCTCTCCAATCTGGGGAGTGGATGTCAGTTGTATGGCACCGTTGCAGCCAGTCTGTTGGTTTGGGCTAACGTGGTCAGGCAGATATACATCCAAATTGGATTAGAATAGTTACATGGTTATTTTTGACTGGTGCAGACCCGTTAGGCTGAAGTGCCTTCTCCTGTGCTTTGCATCTTTATGACTCTACACACCATGCAGGGGGACTGGGCACTTCTCATCTGGGGCTGTCTGCTTTGGTCACTCAAGGATGCAGGCCACAGTCAGTCCATCCAGTCTAGCTTGAAAAACTATCGATGTGAACATTTGACTTCATGTTCACAACGACTGTGGTGGTTACTCCCACTGATACTGTCATGGACCAAGAGAACTGCGGCAGGCAGATCACTGAGGATGAGGTCAAGTATGTTTCTCCCTGTTTTTGGTTCCCTCAGCACTTGACCCTGGAATCTGTGCCCATTAGGACTTGACTAGTTCATTAGTGATGATGCTACCTAGCCACTCTTGGTAATGGACATTAAAGTTCCTAATCCAGTGTACATTCCATGCCCTTACCATCCTCAGTACTTCCTCCAAATGATGTTCAACATAAAGGGGAACTGATTCATCATCCAAGGGCCCGGGGGCTAGAGCACTTAGTGGTAATCAGCAGGAAGTTTCCTTGGCCACATTTGATCCTGATGCAAAGATTTCATGGAGTCCAAAGGCAATGTTGAGGATTCCCAGGCTATTCACTCCTGATGGTATAACATTTTATAGCCACCTCTCTTGGGTTTGTCCTGCCAGTTGGACAGGATATACCCATGGACAATGATGGTGTTCCATGGGACATTTTCTTTCAGGTATAATTTTGTGAGTCAGCTTCTTGATTAATTTGTGAGACAACTCTCCCAATTTTGGCACTAGCCCCCGGATGGTAGGAAGGAGGACTTTGCAGGGTCGACAGGGCTGAATTTGTTCTCAATGAAAACCAAAAGAACTGCGGATGCGGTAAATCAGGAACAAAAACAAAGTTGCTGGAAAAGCTCAGCAGGTCTGGCAGCATCTGTGAAGGAGAAAACAGAGTTAACGTTTCGGGTCCGGTGACCCTT